GCTTGTATAGCGTGTTGGCGCCTTCTTACTGACATCAATAAATACAAAAATATGACTAAGTCAAAAGTCGCAAGACGGTATACAAGCCAAAATGCAAGTCGAAAAGTAGAAATTAAGAAAAAACGAGGGGCGCTATTATCGCGGTGTGTTATTTCTTAATTTCCTATTTTCGAGTTGATTTTGGCTTGTATACCGTCTTGTCGCCTCACATTTTGTTGTAACTTCGACTTTTCGACTTTCGTGTTCTGAAGGGCGAAAAGTAGAAATTATGAATGGTAGTTATAGGCTTCCATAGTACTATATGCAGCCTGTGCATGCTTCAGCTTAGAATGTTTAATTTTAGTACTGCACGCTTAGGTGCCCATAGAACACCCCCTCATCCACCCTTCTCCAGGGTTGCGCCCTATGCGTTTGGATATATCTATTGAAATTTGTGCACCAAGCGTATATCAGCTCACTATGACAGTTCCCACTGGCGTACACTTTTGCTGGGATGATGGGATCCCACACAAAACATTATTAATTAGTTTAAAAGCTACTTAAAATACACTGAAGCTGCTTTCCCCAGAGATATTCAAAGTTTCAAGTCTCCCCAACATGCCTTATTCCAATTAAACATACATTATGCAAGAGCTACATCTGCCTATTGCAGGTCTTTCTTTGGGCCTGAAATGTTATATAAACTATTAATTAGACATTTTATTAACATGAAAAGACCTTAATCAACTCTCGATGCCATGTTATGTGTCGGATTTGAATCCGATTTGCTGCTCAACGCTCATTGATGATTTAATAAAAAAATTGATAATCGAGACTATGTTTTTTATCGTACCGATTTTAGTAATGATGATCGAGGCAAGGCCTAAAATACAATCGCTAATATCTCGGTTCAGAGTGGAGCAATATAACTGAAATTTTCAGCATATTCCATTTACATTATCTAGTTTTGAACTATTATAGTGAGAACTGCCAGCTCTTTTTCTAATCTTCCATAATGTCCCTTTAAATAATTCCTTTCTATGAGTATTCCTCAAGCTTAGCTATAAATGCAATCAATAAAAGGTTATTGTGCAATTGAGATTTGAAGTGTTTTCAACAATCTGCCAACTTAACCAATCAGGTGTTATATATACAATAATGCACGGTTTATTAAATTATTAATCTCTCGATGTCCTCTCACGTATATAATATGGTATATACTATCTATTATGTTATGTGTAAAATTTATTACATGTATATAGTGTTATAAATCTGTTGATTTCTCTCTTGCAGTCTTAGTACATATATCACACTTACATTCTCACTATACACCGATAAACGCAACTGTTTAATAAAACAAAATGAAATCGGGTTTAAGTTACTTTAACGTCCTACTCTTTGCACTAATTAGGCTAATGGAGGGAATGCTATGAGAGACATTTTGTCGAGGCAGTGGCGTGTCTATCTAAGATTGTTTTTAACTGGAGTAATTTAAAGGCAAAAAGAACCAAAAACTGGAATTTTATATTTAAGAATCATTTAAAGAAACTAGATATCAATATAGATATGAATAGTCATGTAAATACCCGAAAACTTGTTTGTGATGTTTTCGAAAGAAACTCCCATTTGTCTTTAGAAAAATGGTTCAATGATGTAACCCATGTTAGTGCTAAAGCCGGCCAAGGTCATAATAAGCTCCGGTCTTATCGTTTGTTTAAGTTTGTGTATGGACCTGAGAAATATGTAACGGACAATATTATTCCCTCCCATCGCAGTGCTCTGGCGAAATTTAGATGTGGAGTAGCTCCGCTCCGTCTAGAAACTGGGCGATATGAAGGAATCCCTGTTGAGAGCCGTCTTTGTTTTTATTGTACAGATAAAGTCGAAAATGAAGAACATTGTCTTTTAGAATGCGAATTATATAGCGATTTTAGGAATGTTTTATTCACTTTTATACAGGATGTGTGTCCACACTTTGCGTCTTTTAATAGCTCTGATAAAATGTCTTTTATTCTGTCCAGTGACGAAGTAGTTAAGTTGAGTGCCAAAACCTGCTGCGATATTTTAAAAAGACGGAGGCAAACTTTATACCCATGTTCGTGATTGGGTTCCTATTTTTAGCCTATAAGTGTAGATGTAAATTTTAAAATTCACATTGTATGTGTGTTTTTCTGTTATTTGTATTTTACTATGCTTATTTATTTGTCTATATAATGTACATCTCGTCTCTCATAATTCTTAATGAATGGCAGTTTCTTTTTATTCTTAGTATATTATAATTTTTGAATGTGATGTATTTATAACTGGTGAGACGTTAATAAACAACTTCTACTACTATCTACTCTTAATCAAATTGTTCTGTATCGCTACCCTGCTCTTCCTGCACCACTGACCATGGGTATATCCCGGGGAACTTTCTAGAGCCACCGCGACGCTGTATTTAATTATACAGTTTTAGTACCAGTGTTTTTATCGTCGTGCTTTTTAACTATACACTGATAAACTTAACTGTTCAATTACACGTCTTGATATGAGAGAGAGAGAGAGAGAGAGAGAGCGAGAGGGAAAGAGAGAGAGAGAGAAAGAGAGAGAGAGGGGGGCTTAACGTCCACTCAACACAAACTAGGTCATTTCGGGACTAAGAAAACGGTTCAATAAAATTCCAATAATGCGCTTGCGCGTAGGGGTCTTTAGCAGTGGGAGGAAACAGGAGGACCCGGAGAAAACCCACGAGGTTGGAAGGCGACCCTACACCTTGTCGCGTACAACCGGGGAATCGAAACCTTATGATACAATGCACACGCGCTCACCATTCGGCCATACCCCCCCCCCCACACACACACACACACACCGCGATATGTATGGAAACCACAGTGAAACACAACAGAACAGTACGGGGTTTATCGTCTCCTCAACAGATTTGGGGGGTCATTTTGAGACAATTGTGTTGTAATTTTCACTTCAATGTGCAATGCGATGGAGTTTGAGAATCTGTTTAATCTTTATGCAATGCCTAAAACTGTCAAAGGGGCACATATACGACCGGGCCTCGTTTTCTCGTCCCATCAAAACGCTATTTTTTGTGATCTGCAGCGTTGATATTCAGGTCGAGAGTCCAGTGCCCTACCGCTCGATCAACATGTTCTCCGGCGACTCTACTCGTGACAATTACCCCGAGTGTACCGTCAACCAAGCAGTGACGGATGCAATGTACGGGACATGGTTTATTCAGACCAACTATTTCTGGAACATCCGATAACACTTTTCATTCATCTAGTGGGTTTAATCTTTTATTCTGTTTCCATGAAACGTGTAAATTTGCGCTTATTGTTGTGATGTAGCTGATGAAATTGATATTATGTTCGTTGGGGTGATGTAGCTGATGAAATTGAATATTATGTTCACCGAGGTGATGTAGCTGATGAAATTGAATATCATGTTCGTTTGGGGTGATGTAGCTGAGGAAATATAATATTATGTTCGTTGGGGTGATTCAGCTGATGAAATTGAATATCATGTTCATTGTGGTGATTCAGCTGATGAAATAGAATATTATGTTCTTTGGGTGATGCAGCAGATGACATAAAATATTATGTTCTTTTGTGGTGATGCAGCTGATGAAATTGAACATTATGTTCGTTGGGGTAATGTAGCTGATAAAATTGAATATAATGTTCATTGGGGCGATGCAGCTGGTGAAATTGAATATTATGTTCGTTTGGGTTGGTGTAGCTAATGAAATTGAATATTATGTTCGTTTGGGTTGGTGTAGCTAATGAAATTAAATATTATGTTCGTTGTGATGCAGCTGATGAAATTGAACATTATGTACGTTGTTATGATGTAGCTGATAAAATTGAATATTATGTTCGTTGGGGCGATGCAGCTGGTGAAATTGAATGTTATGTTCGGGTACAAATATGCGTTCACAGCCCGATTTTGAAAATTTTCTCGGAGGCGACACCCCCACCCCCCTACCTTCTTACTGTTTCAATCACATTTATTTTAATTTTTACAGTGTATACGCTACCCACTTCAGATTATACTGTGATCAATAGCAGTAAATCTAACTATAATGTCTGTACCTATATACATATACACACGGTGTATATCAAACCAATATATAACAGTAGATTCTCTTTTCAATAAGATTATATATTATAATATACAGCTTATTATAAACATGAGAGTAGATATAACGGGGGGATATATAGCCATATATTCTCATAATATTTTATTCCTCCCTCGACGATATTCATAAGCTGGATTTTTTTTTAAACTGAAGTAGAGAGAACAGTTTCTCTATATTTTACGCATAAGTAATTATAAAATTCTTTGGCACAGTATATTGAAATCAAGTGACGCATAAATTGTGAATTCATAACTATTTATAAATATTTTGGCTCTTGTTGACGGGGATTAATCACACCCATGGAATAATTTGTCGGTGATAATCCATAGATAAAGCATGCGTTTATCTAAACACAACACCGATGTATAGAAAGCAAAAAAAGGTGTGTGTGATTTGTACTCGGTTTACTGGACATTATGGTCATTGGATATTCATTAATACATGTTCTACAGATTGGCTTCATTAACTGTCAATATGTTTCATTGATCATTTGATATTAATTGTTGAAAGACACTCGACTGGAAAATCTATAAGTGTATTCAAAAACACTGACAACATTTATTCGGAATTTCTCTCTCTCTCTCGAGTATCCAGTGCTGTTTTTGTTCTATATTTTTACTGGGAAATCGTAAATGTTGTATAATAAATATGGAAACAGGCATAATTCAGTTCTGCACGTATTTGATCGATTTTCGTTCAACTTGAACAATGACGCGATTGATGGAAGTCTACAATTAGGACATGTTTACGCAGTTATAGTCAGTAATAGCATTTACTGCCTGAGGGTATTTGTTTTCTTTAGATTAAGCAAAGAATACACAGTTATAAAATCATACAGAAAATACAGTATTTACGTAATAATTTTGAGTTTTTATAAACGGTTACTGCGCAATATTCCTTGGCGTCATATCTGCAAAGTGTTTAATTGGATTGGATTAAAGAAGAAACGTTTGGAGTAATAAAAAAAATCATTCAGAAAATACGGTATTTAAATAATAATTTTGAGTTTTTATAAGTGTTTAGTTTTAAATGATTGTTAGTGCACAATATTCCATGACGTCATATCTGAAAAGTGTTTAATTGGATTGGATTAAAGAAGAGACCTTTGGAGTTTATAAGAAACAAACACGGAATTTGTATGCGTGTAACTGTGACGTTTTAATGGATCTGTCCATTGACCTTTAACCCGAGGATTTCAAGGGTATGTTCTTTCAATATTATTTAACAGCTATATTATGACTCGTAATTACGAAGAACAGTTAGAAATGTGTTGTGAAGACCTTTAATACAAGTTCCGCGAATCAGCCCTGCTAAATCATTTGGGGTTTTCAAGCCAGTTCTCCCGACCAAATAAATGGCGCCAGAACGACGAACGTCACAGGAATCTGGAGATCAAAGAACTGAACAAACGCGATCATCCACCGAGAATGGTGAAAACATAACACAAAAACCTGTCTCGATAGACGGTCAAAAAGACAAGAAATGTTTTATAAAAATTGTTCTTCCCTCGCAAGACGACGAATTCCATTCGAATACAGAAGGAGGATCTACCAAGATAGGCAAAGTTAATACATCTATATCCAGAAATTCAGAAACATCAGAACATTCCCCACAAATTTTGGCTGATAAGAATACACAGTTTGGATATGAACACGATCGCATGACTTGTAATTCTTCTGACACGGGAGGCGATTCGGTTAGAGACGATGTTTTTGACGATAACAAAATAGACCACCATCATGACCTAGAAACAACAATTTTAAATCTATACGCTTCAAAAATTGGGAAACAACCGTTAGAGGAAAAAGAAGATAATTCATTATCGGTTGGGTCACTAAAAGATGCATGTCGAATAAATAATAAGCCAAAGTTAGTCAAACGCACCGAAAAACAGAAACATGGCACGGCGATTGATCGTGTTCGTGCCAGCAACCTGTCTGGAAGTTTTGTGGATATTGGCGGCTGGCAAAATGAGTTACAAAAATCCCCGAGATTTGACCCCCTTTTACAGAAGAGGACAAAAACATTTCCATCTTTAGGTAAAAAGTATAAGCCTGGTATTGGAGAACTGCCTTTCCGGTTTGAACATCACGAGGATTTAAATCGGTACATTAGAGATTATCGTTACACTCATACCTTGGGAGGGGTTGGCCGCAAACAGTACTTGGATGGAGCTTTACAAAATAACATTTACCCCAACAGGTATGTCAATAAATCAATTATTCCCTTAATCTTGTAATCCGATTATTTCATTAAGAGAATAACACGTTCTGTCTACCCTTTGACCAGAATGAAAGACGCATTGAGAGAGAGAGAGAGAGAGGGTTTAACGTCCAATCGACACAAACTAGGTCATTTCGGGACTAACATATGGTTTAATTTTATTTCAATTATTCGCTTGCGCATAGGGGCCTTTAGCAGTGGGAGGAAACCAGAGGACCCGGAGAAAATCCACGAGGTTGGACAGGCGACCCTACGCCTTGTCACGTACAACCGGGGATTCAAAACCACGCCAGTCGACTCAATGACAGACTTTATGATACAACTCGCTCACGCTAAACAGTCAGCCATCCCCCCCCCCCCCCGACGCATTAATAAGAAACAACTTGAACTTATGTCGAGTAATATACGTCATAATTCTATAAAATACAATTACTGCTTATTACTGAGCGATGGTTCGACTGTATCAAGCAACTTAGGTCGCTAGAACATTCACTTATCACTTATATTTCAATGGCATTTGGCTAAAATGTTGTAATAAGTCACAAACATTACAGGGCCTTCGCGCCGAAGAGAGGGATATTGAAAATTGCCCCGGCCGTCCTTCTGTTCCGTTTTTTTCCGGATAATATCTGACGAACCATTCAAGATATCTTTATGAAACTTTGTACAAACACGAACCCATTATAGTAGTTGTGCATTTTGTTAATTCGAAAATTATCGGATTTAAAAATTTGATTTAGTATCGTGTCATAATTAAGGGCGAAGGATGTTGAGGACTGAATTTTATTGTGTTTTTTGTGTATGGCATATAGAATATATTCAATTGTGGAAAATTAGAAATCCATGCTTTATGACGTACGCAACCTGTTACTCGCTTTATAACTGCCGAATTAAGAAGAGACGCAGACGGATTAGACAAACCATGGTTTGCAATAAGAAAGACGAATATCGGGTTTCGTCGACAATAAGTCATGGTTATCATATCTAGGAGCACTGCAAGGATCCGTACATAGGTCAGATCTTTTGCTTGTGTGCATATATCACCTCTGGGGACTGTGGTCTATATGTAAAAATTATGGACTTCGAGGCTCGCGTTTTGTGGAGTGTGAAATACCGTTTGTATCATCGAATACTTAATTCGCAGGTACTGGAAGGGATTAAATGTTTTTACATTACCTTGGGTCTAATGTATTACAGTAGGTACAAGTTATATCACACTCAGTGAAGACGTTTCGCCCTCGAACACTACTCACCCCATGTAAAGCTTGTTGTTGTTCTTAGTGTTTAACGTCCGCTTCCACCGAAGGTGATATCGCAGACAAGTCTTATTATTATTTCTTTTATTATCTTAGCGCACGCGCAGGGGTCTTTCCTGAGGGAGGAAAACAGAGTACCCGCAGTAAACCCACGAGGTTGAGAAGGCGCCCCTATCTCCAAGCCACATACGCTCACACCAGCGATCGAAACAGCCGCAAGCCAGAGGTGAGCGGCCAGCTAGAGGTCGAAACGCGGCACTCTAGACCACTAGGCCACACCAACCCCCAGTAAAAAGCTTCATATTAATCCCTTTAAATGTCGGTGACCCCATTGGATAATCCTTACTTACTACGTTCAGTTTATATTTATTAGCTTTTATTTATTCTGTTTGCAGTCTTACTGGAGGTCAATGGTCGTTGAGGAGCCCGAACTTTCGTATAAAAACTACCGACCCGACGTCAAGAACATTTCTACCACAAACTCAACGAAGTATCGGCAATCTCCATCCGGGATGCATCCTTTGTGAAAAAGAAAAGTTTAGATTAAGAAACAGTTTTCCAAAACGAGTGTACTTAAGTTGGAACCAATATATGGCTTTATGCAAGTCAAATACCGCCTTGATGTCCCAGGCTACTAATTACTCTATCGACACAACATCAAGCCAAGCCACGCCACGAGCAGTGACGTCATATTCCCCAACACGCCCGGAATTTCTGATGAACCAACGCGAGAAATCTTACGACATTGGATGTAAATATGGAAAAGAATCCAACGGTGCAAAGACTGGATCAAATGAACGAAAAAAGATTGACCCGAGTTCCCTAGCTATGGACAAAACGTTACTTGTTTATCGTCTGAGGGGGAAAATGAAGAATTCAGTTAATGGCGGGAAACACGACTCGAATGAAACATCCAACTTTGACACGAATAATTCACTGACCTTAAAAAACACCCCAAATCCACTTTAAATTTATCAAGACCTCTATGCAATATTTAAAAGAATGTTTTTAAAAGAAAACAAATACGACGATTTTGTAAATATAAATTTATTAAATGTCTATTAATTGGTGCTATTATGTTTCCTGTTTGAAATAATACTTAGTAGCATCTTGATCTTCTAATATTGTAATGTCTTTATCTTCATCTGCAGAAAAAAAATGATCAACGTAAATACACAATGGCAATCTCGTGCCGGATTAAGCTTGCATGGGACCCCTGGCTGAAAATGTCACTGAGGTCCTTACATCAACAGTAAAAAGCAAGGACATTCTGGCAATTGTACTTCACACTCACACAAATTGATGGTAGATATATAGATGTCTTTGGAACAAACATATACAACATAATAAATTATAAATGAAATGAAATGGGGTTTAACGTTCTACTGTTCTGCTTCTAAACTGGGCTAATGAAGACGAGCATACGCCATACAGTGTGCTATAAGGGAAATTTTGCCCGGGCAGCGGCGCTACGGCCTACTCTTATATCGAATTCCAACTGCCAAGGGATCTTTTACGTGCATGCTAATGTATACACGGGACCTCGGTTTTTTGTTCGATCCGAACGACTAGACAGCTGTCCTTGTCAGATCCTCCGTCATGCACAACTGACAAGGGGAAACCACGACGAAAAATCCTTATGAACTTTTTCGGCCAATGCAGGGATCGAACACCCGACCTCCAGGCTAGTGAGCCAGCGTCTTACCAACTTAGCCACGTGATCCCCCTAATAAATTTACTTTACATTATATAAAATAAAAACTTAGAACTAATTTAAGGCCTTTTTAATATTGCGGACCCTGACTGCAGTCTAGTCAGCACTCTCTCCACCCACGCCCCGTTAATCCGACCATGTGTTAATCTCGAACGTTATGAACTTATACAGAACTGCACACGCGTCATAATTTATAGGAGTGCACTTGGATGTTTGCTAGTTGTGTCACATTAAATGTTATCTAAGAATAGCTTGTTTATTTTCGATCATAAATATTTCAGACAACGTATTCGGTTCTAAGCAACACTTACAAGTATTATTTGCTCATTAACCCTTGCTAAACTTATTATGGATAAAACGGTGTTCTGATTAACAGATGTCGACTTTTTCGGTATTGATTACCGTAATTACTACCATCTTGACATAAACAGGAATTTGACAATTTGAAATTTGGTTTAACTTCTACTGTTCTACACCGACTGGGATAATGAATACGTGCATACGCCATGCATTGTGCTATGACGGAAATTTTGCCCGGACAGCGGTACTACAGTATTCTCTTATTTCGAATTCTAACTGTAAAGGATTCTTTTACATTCACTCCGTTGTGTACACAGGATCCCGAAAGACTTGACACGGGGAACTTTATTCTTGGCCCAAACCGAAAGCGAAACCGAGATCTCGTGGTTAGCGAGCCAGCGCCTTACTCACTGAGCCACCGTAACATGGTTACAAGAACTAACAGTCCATTAAATTTACTATGGTGTACTGCTAGTCATTTGTCTCATTAAATCAAGGGTGGGGGATGGGGGGCGAATGATTAGCGCATGCGCGTTGTATCACAAGGTCTGTCATTGAGTCAATTGGCGTGGTTTCGATTCCCCGGTTGTACGTGGGTTTTTTAATCAGGGTCCTCCTACGGGCAAGCGAATTATTAAATTGAACCATATGTTAGTCCCGAAATGACCTAGTATCTCTCTCTCTCTCTCTCTCTCTCTCTCTCTCTCTCATTAAGTCATATAAATGTCAGTTTAACAAGATGTGGAAAACAATATAGTTTTGAATAGCTCAACCTAAAATGGTTCTAGCGTAGTGATAATGCCAATCTCATTAAAACCCTGATTCTACTTGCAGGGGCCACCAGAAGCTTAAAAAACAAAGGAAACGAAATATACGGCTGTATATAAACGAGATTGCTAATACTGACTTCTATTCTCTATAATTTCTTTTAACGTTGTAAAATATATTTTAAATACAATACTAACCTGAATGGGAGTATAATTCTTTGTAATCTTGAAGTTGTTTATAGTTAAAATATTCCGGTATTTGTTTACCACCTTTAAGTTGAAAGATTATAGGATCACCTGTTTCTTGTGTTGTAAGTAGTATATGATGACCATCAGTTGTACACCGGGCAGTTCGTAACTACAATACATAATAATAGATAAATCATCTTTAGGCCATTAATCGGGAAATTGCCTTTGAATATGCCCCACTAACCAAGAACAGATTTCAATACTACTGGAATAGAAGATTCTCCAGTTAGAACTGCTATTAATACTTTTGGGGACCCTTGTCAGAATTGATGCCAATACTACTGGGGTAGTGGAGACCCTAGTCAGAATTGATGCCAATACTACTGGGGTGGTGGAGACCCTAGTCAGAATTGATGCCAATACTACTGGGGTGGTGGAGACCCTAGTCAGAATTGATGTCAATACTACTGGGGTGGTGGAAACCTTAGTCAGAATTTTTGTCAATCTACTGGGGTGGTGGAGACCTTAGTCAGAATTGATGTCAATACTACTAGGGTGATGGATACCTTAGTCAGAATTGATGTCAATACTACTGAGGTAGTGGAGACCCTAGTCAGAATTGATTTCAATCTACTGGAGTGGAGACCCTAGTCAGAATGGATGTTAATACTACAGTGTCGTTGCTAAGTGGATGCGACAGGTTTAGGGGTTTAAATCCGAACATTCGGTTGTAATGTTATCTAGTAACTAATATACGTGAACTTTAAAGTACTAGATTACATGTAGTTAGTTACCTCGGCGTCCATGTAGAAAGAAGCTAAACTAGTAAGCTTTTGCCGGTCCCAAACATTCACAGCGTTATCTCCCTTTAATCTACCATAGGTTAGAAAGTACGGACCATTATCTGGCACGGAAACCTGATTACAGTCATCTTTCTCCATTAGTAACGAATCTGTCATAAATAAAAACATAATTTATAAAGTGGATTAAACGTTGTACATAAAAGTATGCCATGCAATATGGAAATAAAATAAAACCAAGTACGAACAATCCAAACCATTAGACAAAATTCGAAGTCCTAAAAAAAAAACGGTATAGGCAAAATAGTGTAATAATGGTAAGCCAGACCTGGGGTTTAACGTCTTACTGTTTTACATCCCTGGTAAAAAGAAGTGGGACATGCGCCGTGCAGTTTACTGAAAGAGAAATTTTGCATGCACGGACAACTGCCCTATGTTCTATCCTATTTCGAATTTCTTGGCCAAGACCACAGTCCTACTCCTGCACCAAGGACAAGAGGGAACCAGGATGGAAATCCCTAAGGACCTTTCTCGGGCAAAAAAAGCGAACTTGTAGCTTCCTTATTTTTGAGCCAACGCTATGCTCACCAAGCCAACCATCGTGGCTCCTTCGAAATCCAGACTTGCATTTGAACAATATATTTCATCAGAATGACAAGGATGAAAGTTAAATTTTACCATTTATAAAGTCATAAACTTTCATGAAGCAATCTTGTTGGTGAATTAGTACAGTACTTGAAGTAAGAAGTTGATAGTTGACAGGGGTTCTGCCGGAAACAGCCGATCTTGCCAACAATCTTTGACTTAGTGTTCCTTTAATACAAAAAGATCATCACAGGCTACTTAAAGAGCACACTAAATGAGCAAACTAAATTTTATGTACTTATAGCCAGTGGTTACTATATACACTTTACGGCAAGTTCACACCAATCTGATTAAAATTAATTGAGCCATCTTCACCCAAAGTCGCAAATATAGACCTTCTGAAAAACGCTCTTAATTCTCTCAGACGGCAGTGACGTTACAGTGACCGAATGCATATTATTAGGAATGTTTATTTCTTAATTACCTGTACACACCAAGATATGTACTCATTAACACCTGACTAATTCCGCAATCCCCTAATTAAATAAAACAATCAACTACACAATAATTTGCTTTGCAATATATTTTCATTTTAGATTCTATTTAGGCAGTCGCTGTAGCCATATTCCCCGTGCCCATTTGATCAGAATAAATTGGAGTACGCCAACGGTAAACCTGTACAATAATGGGTTTCCGACGAAAACAAGATGGATGTTAGATTATTATCAACGGCGCTACGAACATCTATGAAGTCAATAATAATAAAAACACACGTTTATAGTTCTCCATGGGAGACATGGGCAGAAGTGTTACAAATAAATATCGGCATTTAATTCTTTCACCCCACAACAACCCACACGTATATAACCATGGACAGTTATAAACATACAGAAAGGGACCTGCATGGAACCATTAATCCACAAAATATGCGATCTAATTCAGTATTTCGACAGAGTGTTTCCTTATGACCCCGTCGAACCGGGGTGGTGTCCGTACTGCGCTGCTGTGACAGTACGGCGACTAGAAAATGCACATGGTCGCCGTCAAACGTGAAAATGTCCCAAAAAAATTACAAACTTGAAAAAAACCCCGCGTTCTCACAGCTTTACTGGTTAGATCGCAGGACCTTGGCGTTTGTTTTTAACATGCTGAAAGCAAACGCCATGACTCGGCGATCATTGGCGACCATGGAGACCACAGCACATCTGGCGTTTCCACCACGCTTTTACCACGCTTATGGCGATCTTGACGCGCTCTGAGACCCTTATATCCTTCGCCGTAGCAGTGCTGTAAGGACGCCACCCCATCTGACGGGGTATTACGAATCATAAACAGTGCGTGTAAAGTTCAAAATAAAATCTGTTAGGCGCAAGTGACGGCAATAAACGTCCACATTTAAAAATGGTAGAAATAAAAAAAACTATGACCAACAACAGGCCTCCCAGTCTTCGAATAGGTAAATAGTAGCAGAACAGAAGGAGACACATGTAATTCTGTGATTAATTCGAAAAATACTGAATTTCGACAGGGTTTTTCCGTTTGAAACAATGAACCATACCGGCAAGTTTGAAAACAAAAATGATCAAAAACTCTGTTCCCAATAATCCGTGGACAGTTACGGACAGCAGACATAAATAATCTAGTCTTCAAACGTCTATATATATAGAACCAGGAGAAATATACTTACCAGTAAACAAATCACAAACAATAATTTCAATCTTGTCTAATTCTCGATATTTAAACAATATTTTGGATCCTTCAGGAGTTATTATAAAGTCTTTGGCATCAATACCAACTGTGTTTAAACCTAATGTATCAGATGATATAGATTGTTTATAGGTGTAGGTTTGTATATCAAATATATAAAATATAACATCCTCTTCACATTCACCCTCGGTAACTAAAATATTCTCATCTTTATTTACCTGAAATATATCAAATATAGAACAACTGATAACACTTCTTAATATATAGTTATCTGGTAAGTTCCATAACTAACTTTGCCTGTCCCACCTCATGGGTTTTCTCCGGGTCCTCTGGTTTCCTCCAACTGCTAAAGACCCTACGCGAAAGCGAATTATTGAAATAAAATTGAAGCATGTGTTAGTCCCGAAATGACCTAGTTTGTGTCGAGTGGACGTTAAACCCCATTTCTCTCTCTCTCTCGCTCTAACAATTTTGATAGACTGGATAACCTGCTGTATTATGTTCGTCTCACTCCTATGTGACTCCTTTACTGTCTTGTATAATGGACCGTGTTAGTCTCAAAAATCCCTGATTGTGCTGAATGAACGCTAAACCTCATTTCTCCCGGCATTAGCACCATCACATGTTGTTGCCTTGTAATCGTCTTTGCAGTTTTATTTTATTACGATAATGCCCGTAGGTTGCTTCACTTACCGTGAATGATTCTAATTTGTGTTTTTGATTTGCTGATAAGATTTTACTACATTTACCAGTCTGAACATCATAAACTTTTATACTCATTTGTCCTTCACTCCAAGTTATAAATTCTGAAATAAAGAGAATTAATAAGAGAGTCTTATTATATGTTCTAAAGATTCAGAAACTATGTCTAAATAGTAAACTTATTGTCTATTTGATAAGAAATGAAATTTGTGAAAGATACAAGTGCCCTAACTGAATAAGCATAGAAAACAAAAATGAAAAGAAATGACATTTTTTACATTCTAATTTTGACTTTGTCTTTCATTAGAAGAAAATATACCTGACAGCTGTGTCTAAATGGACAAACTGGATGGGTTGATGCTTGGAAATTTCAACTTATCTGTGTCTCAAGGTTGTTTAATATTATGAGTAGCTCGTAAAGGCCCAAGGGATTGGGTGAAATTAATTTCCAATTTTAAGTTTTTGAATTACACAATAGTACAGTCACTACAGCGCACTATGTCATTAATTGATGGTGGTTTAAGATATAAACTTGAGTTTATATTACCTTTACCGTTCTTGATAACTCGTATTTCGTTACCCTGGGATGTGTAAATCTGACCTTCATAGGCCACTTTAAATTCCATGGTAGATAAATCTAGTAGTTTTATTTTAGTATTTCCACATATTAGCACATGTTGGTCATCGATAAATATCTCAAAATTAGGACCCTAAAATGACAAATGAAAGGTTAAATAACATTACAATAATCATAACAGTTCTATAAGACCCTCTCGGAGTGATAACTACAAGAGAATCATTCTAGAAATGTAATTAAAATTCTGTAATTGTCTCTCATGGATTATTTTAATGTGTTCAGTTATTAAACTTACAAATTTGGTCGACTTCTTGATAGGTTTTTGTAAGAAGAGATCATAGAGTTGCCAAGACCAATAAAAACCTCTCTTTATTTTAAAGATGGCGTAACGTGGATTGTTGAACAAAACCGTAGACCTGAAATAATTTCATAAAGGAACAACAGTTTATTAAGGGTTTCAAATTTGGTTGAAGTGTACTGATCTATCCAACAAGTTGTTGTCTAATACAATACCACATCTGACCTATAACAGGTAATTTGAGAATTTAACATATTACATGTAGAACATACAAAACGATGTCCATACTGATGACAACAGTACACATAATTTAAATGTGTGTATGTACCACTAACATTACAGCAATAAAAGTTACATTGGCTCGGCCATAATGCTTCCGGTGCAAAGTCGCGATCCTTGTACAACAGTAGCTAACGACAGAGAATCGTGGGGCAGATCATGAGCTTTATTCATGAAAACGTACACTAAACTATTTCATTGACTAAGAACTAGAATTTGTACTAAGATTCAAACTTCCAGCCAATGAAAAGGTTAAAACCTTCGTGAATTAGGTCCCAGGATGATAACATTCTTACTTACATGACTTTAGCACCTTTGTTTCCATTTCTATCCTGATCACCATCGTCATTATGTTTTCTATTTAAATCCCAGATTCTGACAGCTCTATCTTCAGCTGTGGTAACAACTATACGAGAATCTATTGTCACTATATCTGTTATTTGAGTTGGATGATCAATGAGAACAGACTGACTCTCCTCCACAACATCCCAAATATATACATCAGAATAATAATAAAAATAAACATAGCGACCATCTTGTGTTATCTTTAAAGGCCCCTGAGCAAATATATTTTCTTTTCCTGTAATGTAACAAAACATATAATTGAAAAAAATACGATAATTAAGAAATAGCAACTTTGTGCAAATAAAGGGCCACGGTTCGCATCTCGGTGGGGGCCAAAATGGTTCAGTGAGTATGACACTGACTGACCACTCGGCAAACCTCGGCATATTCCGGTACCCTACATCTAACCTCGGCTGTATGATAGTAATTGATATGTACCTACGCCCATACATTTGCGATGCGGCTACCGGTTTACTTTAACAGGAAAACGTGCCGCTTTTACAAAAAAAGTCCCCAAATGGCGTCTTTTGTCGAGTGTATATAACTAAACGAGCAGCGATATTGTCTCAAGGCTGCTGGTTTGATATAATTCCCTGGTAATTCCCCAAACCCAATGCCAAACTTGACGTTTGTTGATATAATACATCATCCGAGACCTTTAAAATAGTTCCAATATGGCGGAATTCGTCATACAGCCGAGATTAGATGCGTAGAATCTGTCGAGGTTTGCCGAATGACTGACTGACATCCAGGGGGTCCTGGGGTCGATCATCATGTTGGGCGATAAAGTTTGTGGAAATTAAGGGCCACGGTTCGCATCTCAGTGGGAGTCAAAAATGGCTCAGGGAGTATGACAATGTGACAATGGATGACATCCAGAGTGGGGGGTGGGGGCGGGGGGGGGGGGCTGGGTTCGATCTAGATGTTGGGGTTGGGCGATAGAGTTCCTCGGGATTTTCCAGAGTGGTTTCCCTTTGTCAGTGGTCCAGGATAGATGGCTTGAATCGGATTTGATGTTTGTTAAACGGAATTTACACACATACTCGTTGGACGTAAAAGAACCATTGACAAACACCACTGTCTGAGCAAAATTACGTATGGGAATAAAGCCTATTGTAGAAGTCCGTGGTGTCAGTTATCTGAGGCGAGTCTTAAATGTGCAAACAAACATTAGTTAATGAGTATCCCACCTTCAATTGATTTACAGGATGTAAGATCCTGCGTGTCATACACATATAATGCTGGTTTAAACTTGTGACTGGTGTACAATCTGGTAGAATCTGGTGAAAACACGAACACCTCACAAAAACCTTCTATAATACCAGTAAAACTTCTAGTTAAAACATCAAATATAACTAGATCTTTTTTCTGGTTACATGTTGATGCTACATATTTCTCACATCCTGAAACACATTATAAAATAATTATTATACTTTCAGTTAGTTTGGAATAATTTGATCTACGGATAGAGGATTTCTGGGGTCCTAATTAACCGAAAATAGGTTTGTGGACAGCTACTGTTTACATGCAGTTATTTTTGTTGCAGCTTCTGGTGTTTAACATTTGCTTTTTAGCACTATTCTACAGTCCGAAGATTGCAAACTCGACAGTCTCGACTGGTAATGCACGTCTCAACGATGGTAAATGATAAATGTTTAACGTTTTACTCAGGAAGATGGTACGAGACAATATAAATGAAGTTTCAAGAGTATATACTTACCAGTACTCTGCGACTTATTATCAAGCGTAGCTACAGAACACGTCACTTGTTTAACTAATTTTCCATTGTTCGAGTTATATAGAGATATACCGTTATTATCAACAATACATAGATATTCCTTATTATTACCACATAAACAAAACGTCACTCCATTTGTTATTCTATAAATCTCTATACCGGTATCAATATTATATCCTATAAAACCCACAGAACACTTAAACACCACCACGTGATCTGAACACAGTCTCAACATCTCCATCTTGTCGCCTACTTCATCGAACATCTTGAGTAATCTCCCTTGTTTAACGTCCCACGCGTTTATTGTTTTATCATGGGAACCTGGAAACGACATAATTACATGATAATTTTTTTTTCTTACGAATATAACAAACACCAATTTTGACAGTGGCTATTTATAACAAAAGGTGTTAGGCGTCAAATAGTAATTTCTTCCCGTCTTCATTAGCCCAGGTTAGGAGCAGAACAGTAGGACGTTAAACTTCATTTCATTTCAGTAATTTCTTCGTTTATTCAACATTGTTGGGGGGGGGGGGGCGAATGGTTAGCACGTGCGCGCAGTATCATAAGGCCTGTCATTGAGTCAACTGGCGTTGTTTCGAATCCCCGGTTGTACGCGACAAGGAATTATTGAAATAAAATTAAACCATGTGTTAGTCCCGAAATGGCCTGGTTTGTGTCGAGTGGACGTTAAAGTCTATCTCTCTCTCTCTCTCTCTCTCTCTCTCTCTCTCTCTCTCTCAATCATTGTTAAATTTAGATTCAAAATAGTAAGGGTCTATACAATTCAAAGTCTAAAGATGAAATGAAATTGGATTGGGTATCTTATATCATTAAGGATATAAACACTTCTGTTATTGTTCATTTGGTACCGCTTAAATCGTTAGAAGCCGAGATCTCTCGGTTTCTGTCCCGTTTCTGGTTACAATTAATATTATAGACGTCTTAAAAATAAGTCACCTACATGTAACAGCTATTTGTCCATCACTGGTCATATCAACACTGGTTGGTTTATCACTATGTTGAGCTAAACAATGTACTAGACTCCCTCCTGGTTTTATTAATACACTCTGATTAGGTTCCAGATAATACGATGAACTTTTCTTACAATCTTCTAATAACTGATTCAACGCCTGAAATAATTTAATATAGCGAAATTCCGAAGATAGGCAATACTAGACTATGAAATGGGGTTAGCAGTTTTATGTAAGTAATCTTTGGGATGCAGACCACCAAACTTTCTCTCATTGACTTTAATGTTATTTCTTGCCTCTACATTTTTATGTACATAATCTTAATTAAAAGCAATACCCCTATACACAAAATTCAGTCTCGGGACAGCCCTGGTTTAGCCACCAACCCTGAAAAAACGGACACACAACAGTCACAAATATTAGTATAGATAATAATAAACGACGACGTTAAGCAAGTAATTAGTGGTCTGCCTGCTAAATGGTTAAATGCCCCCAACAACGAAATACAATGTGATCGCAATAGTACCAAACGTACGTGAAAAGACATACCTTTGTTGGCTCAATTCGTCCTAATAACTGTGATGGTAGTTCATTATTATTGTACTGAAGAACATTCTGGGAAAGTTGTAAGGCGTCTTCAACACATTTTATGTCCTCGTCATCTGGATACTGATTCCTAGCTTGGATATAATCTTCCAGTAGCTGTCTATAAAATATTCAAAATACTGTAATATCGTCATTTAAAGATACAATCTCAAATCGTCATGGGGTTAAACATCACCGAGGAAGGCACAAAACGTGGGTCTAATCTTTGGCGTCCCAAATTGGTGTACAATTATTTGTACAGTTATAAAGAGGTAAGCATGACGAAACGGGTTGGGAACCACTGGTTTAGTCGTCCCGTAACCATAGAAATAAAAATAATAATATTAACTCTATTCCTTTTATTTTCACACTTTCGGGGAAAACTTATAGCTGTAATGAAGCAGAACGGAGAAACAAGAAACCCATAGAACCAATATTAGTATAATCTATCCAAACATTATCAGAATTCCAGTTCAAATAAGATATTCTGAAATTCCTCGACGTTTAGTATAACTTAACACAGTTAACATACGACAACAAATTAATGATAGTAAACTATATTACCTTAGTCCCTGAGATTTGAGTTTAGCCAAGATAAACTGAAAACAACACAAACATTCTGATTTGAGTAGTTCAAGTTGATCAGCTTGTAGTCTATGATAAGCTAGATTGTTGATCTTTCTGTAGTTGAACGTTTCGCCAAACATTAATGGTTGAGAAGCAACATGGCGGTCAGCAGATGACGTCTGGTTTGTATTGGTAAATGGTTTAGATCTGCCTGTAAAAGAATGAAAACTAGTAAAGCCATCTATATTGTCGTATGTTCGTTCATTGTAGTGGATTAATGACTAGCTGGAGAAAAAAAAAAGTCTCCACAGAGGTTCATCCAAGCGGGGATCGAGAAGAGCATTTGTATTTGTTCAGACCGGATCTTCACCTATCTGGTGTGACACCTGCGGGGCTAACAAGAAAGTATGTCTATATAGTCTTCAGGATGGGACGGAAAACCGGGGGCCACCAGTGTAAACATTGGCGTACACGTAAAAAAAACCCTTGCCAGTTAAAAATCCCCAAGAAAGTATAGGCGAAAACGCCGATGTCAGGTCATAATTATTTACACACATTGCACAAACAACCATAGAAATTAAAATTATGTGGGATGTTTGTTTCGAAATGAACAAAGAATTTTGTGTTGATGAGACATTATTTCATTCCAATCAACTTAAAATACACCGATCAGCGGCATCGTGTTCTGCATATGTTACAATAGTTTACTAACTTTTGTTGTCCTTCAATTAAAGAAGATATTTTACAAGTTTTACAATATTAATAATTATATATAAGCCAGTGTCGTAGCGTGGCTTGGTAGTACACAGGAAAAGGCGTGTATTACGCCCCTATGAATGCCCCCATCATGTTGAAAGGCTGTGATGCATGGAAGATTTTATGTGTCAGAGGGCGCTATTGTTCCAAATTATTATTACTATTTTATTTCCTTTTGAAATTGTGCGCTCAATGAGAATTGTGCGCCCATACAGCTACACCAGATTATTTCATTACCATGTGCCCAGACACCAGAGAAGTAATCAGCTAATCTCGAGTTCATAGTTTTAGTAATATTAAAATCCATCAGATATCTATCTTTAGCAGCTTCTACAAACTGACGATGATACCAATAAGTTACACGTGAACCATCTGCTCCTCGTACAACTGAAAATAAACAAAATGTTTAACTTCATTCAAATCAACTATTGCTGCTCTTTTTCAGGGTCTATAATATACATTGACCACCGTCAAGACCGGTCGAATTTAGTCTTACTTGTAAATCATTTTTTTTCCTCATTTTAAGTCAAGTCTGTATGTCTGTATTATTACAGGCCCGGGACGGCAAAGCGAATTGAGCGCTTAGGGCTAGCCCAAGGATCCATTTCTTGCAATTTCTATGTAGTCTGCCTCTTGTCCGCAGGTTTGTCTTACCGGTTTTGTTTTGCAATTTGTATCTTGGATCGAAACTAAATCATGTCATGTTTCAGATTATCACTGGATAAATATCCACTCATTGTGTCTAATATAATATTGGATAACAATTCCTTCTGTCCATTCGGGTTTAGAAAATCAATGCGTATTCTCATTATTATCAATATTATGTTTTAGAACGATATTGGATACCACATCCTGCTATTAATTCATGTTTACGAATATCATTGGATAACATATTTTTGTATCAATTCATTTTAACAATTTCATTGGATAGCAGGATATCCTCCTACCATTCACGTTTGACAATTTCATTGGACAATATATTATTTCATTAATGCATATTTTACAATCTCATTGGATAACATAACCATCTTTCAATAACAAATTCTTTTATCAATTATGTTTCAGAATCGCATTGGTTTACATAACTGTCGTTCAAAGAGACTTACCAAAATACTGTTCCAATTCATATCTCATTCTAACTAATATGAGTGGTGGTAGACGACGTATGGGTGGAGTCCAATACATGTATACGTCATTTAATACGTCATCATCACAAGACAAGATGTCTTCCAGTTCGGCTTCAGTGAGTCCACTTTTACCTGAAACGATTGAACTAGATTTAATATGAATACTGAAAACGTTATGGAATGATGCCAAGAGTCTCTTCCAAACGACATTGGGGGACGGTTTGTGCAACATTTCGACCACCAACGCTTCGGTCATAGAGGTTTAAACCACACAAGTTAAGGCCACAGATAGTTCGGTCACAGAGGTTAAAAGAGTGCTAAATGGTGCTAATAAATAAGAGCTAACTAGATAGGGTCAGGGTTAAAAACCTACTTGTCTAAAACATCGATGACCGACACGGGGTTGATATTTTGACATCCTTTTCAATACCGGATACCGATTGCGTCTGGTGTGGGAATATACAAAATCCTTGTTATATGGGAAATATATTGAAATTCACAACATAAAAAACCTACTTACTCAGTGTGAGATATCCTAGTGCACGTGATACGAGCATCTTTCCATGTAAAGCTTCGACTCGACTGAACAAATGATTGACAATACCACGAACAGTGGTCTCCAATTCAGTCGAGTCCCGATTACTATATGATGTCCACTGACAGGCCTCGTCAAACGATAGTTTTAGGAACAGTGGTAACGGACACTTTTTAAAGGCATCCAGTAAAACCGTCATTTGATGGGGTTGAAGTTTCCTTTTTCGTAATTCAAACCATTTACTCAAAATGCCCTTTGCATCTTTTTCTGGTAGGTTAGGAACTTCGATAAACTGTCTGTTGGATTTGGCAGGGAACATTGCCTGTAAATAAGATGATTATACATTGAGTATAAAAACTTGATACGAAATGGGGTTTAACGGGTTAATAAAGACTGGGTAAAAATATGAAAGGTCAATATATATATAAACACATGCTCTAATTTAAAATATAATTCTGTAATCTCGCATTTTTTAAAGCCGACTCCCACTCAGATGGCTGACATCTATGGCGTGTGTAAACAGAAGACCGCGGGGTTTGGGATCTCATCTAATAAACCAGGTAGGAGCAATCTGACACACGACATTTTTATTCCACCCAAATCCAGGCTACAAAAGGGCTCGGGCGAATCTCGCTTTAAGATAGCAACAGGTCACATGATCAACATATATCAGGCGATCGTGAGCACATATAAGGAGACATTCTCCACACGTTCAGATGGGACAAAGGAAAAATAAGTCCCGCCTTGCTGAAATTAAAAAACAAAGTCTTGACAATTGGAATTGAATGACGAGTAGCTAGTATACCGGTGTCCGGGCTAAATTCTCCTTTTAATTATTACACACATGATCACAAAACGGAAATAATAACGGAAGTATTGCGAGACGTTAAACCCCATGCTTCCTTCTGGAACACGACTAACCTGAAGTTTAGGAAAACATTCGTACTGAGGTTCCGGAAGTGTTGATAGAACCACTTTAACATTCTGGGGAAGTTTCCTTGGTAACCAGAACATTTGTTTGGCATTTCCTCCAGGATCCAACTGGTCCAATGAATCCAAGAAAATAATCAATTGGTTCTGTTTAGATGCTGAACCGAGTGATTTTAAAAAGTCGTCTGTTATATCTCGTAAATTCTGAAATTAAAATGTTATGAGGAAAATTCCTTCCGGTTCTAGTTTATAAATACAAACATTACCTGTGCTGTTAAAGAACAACCAGACGATTTTTATTAAGCAAAACATTCTGTCATGCGCTTTAAATAGTAGGGGGGTTGGATGGCCGAATGGTTGGCACATGCGCGCTATATCATAAGGTTTGTCATTGATTTAACTGGCGTGGTTTCGATTCCCCGTTTGTACGTGACAAGGAATAGGGTCCCCTGTTCAACCTTGTGGATTTTCTCCAGGTCCCCCGGTTTCCTCCCACTGCTAAAGACCCCTACGCGGAAGCGAATTATTGAAATAAAATTGAACCATGTGTTAGACCCGAAATGACCTAGTTTGTGTCGAGTGGACGTTAAACCCCATTTCTCTCTCTCTCTTTCTCTCTTTAGATATAGTAATGTCTGGTAATGAGAGCACCCTGCACGTTTCAAGTCAGTAGCTTGAAGCGTATATATGGTATTAGTGTCAGTGGCTTGTGGCACGAAGTAACAGTATATTGTCGCATACATAATATATTATGTCAACGCTTGGGCGACATAATATATTGTGTTGACGCTCCAAGCGTGTTAGCATATTAGACCTGTAGACTCAGTGGAATGTACGCGTCATCAGAGCGGATCCAGGGGTTGGACCATAGGGACCGGTCCATCCCCTTAACAATAGAAAGTGTCCCTGTAAATAAAAGAGGGCATCATTATCAGAAAAAGGGCACCTGTGATGTCAGAATTTCAAAAAAGGGCACTTTTCTTTCGGATTAGGGTTAGGGTTAGGGTTAGGGTTAGGACACAGAAAAGAGAGAAAAAACAGAAAAGAAAAAAACAATCGAAACTTACCGATTCCATGATGGAAAATACCGCCAAAATATGTCTCCGAAGCATTCATTGGTTATCAAAGCGCCAATTAAATCTATCGTTGCAAGTTCATGCCTAGTCACCTCCATCCTAGTTCCAAGCGTTGACATAATATATTATATCGCCCAAGCGTTGACATAATATATTATGTATGCGACAATATACTGTTACTTCGTGCCACAGGCCACTGACACTAATACCATATATACGCTTCAAGCTACTGACTTGAAACGTATCGCCTGATGAGAGTGGATTGGTCCTGATACGAAACATTATTTTATATGTTCTTAGAGTCAAATTGCCAATACCAATAAGTCGATATTCTAATGGAGACGGGAGTGGGGACCTCTCGGTGATGAAGGCGCTGACTCGCTAGCTTGGAGGTCCCGGGTTCGAACCCGGTGTTGGCCACCTAGGAATTTACCGGCGTAGTATTTCCTTGTCAGTGGTGCATGACGAATGATCTGGCAAGGAACAGAGTCTAGTCGTTCGGATGGGGCGAAAACCGAGGGTCCGTGTAGACGTCGGGGTGCACCTACAAAGAACGCAGCGCCTCTTGCCGGGGAAAATGTACCTCATAAACCACTGCATGGGTTGCAACCTTCATTAGCCCAGATGGAGCATATGAGTGGAATGTTAAACCCCATTTCAACTCATTTCTATTGCGATCGAGTAATATAGTGGGTTTCAACGTATGTTTCCGTTTTTAAACATTAAATTAATATATACCGTGTAAGATTTTGCACTAGTTCCGCCATAAATCATATTAATCTGATTGGTTAAACTCAGTAGTAAAGATCCAATTGCAGAACTTTTCGGCGTCGTTCCAATAAATCTGGAAATATAAATTATGATACGGGTTTTATATTAAGTTACAATTCAACAGATGAACTAGTACTAGCAGCAATAAGCTCTGAAAATGGAGTAGTCCATGCGGTGTCAAGCCGGAGAAATCTTTAACTAGAGCACTCCAAGCGGTGTCAAGCAAGGACAGTCGTCAACTAGTCCACGGGTTTTCAAGCGGCCCTATGTGTCATGGGTGCAGAATCTCTTTCTTTAATTTATACTTCTTATTCACAAAATTGAATAAACTGTAAGGGCTTTCGTTTCGTAGCAATTTTAATTTACTTATTGTCAAGGGGCAAACGCCAAACCCCACGAGAGGGTGCGCAGCCGGTGCGCCGCCCCAGGACCCATAAGAGTGTATGTGGCCTATGAATATCAAAGTTCAAAATTGAAATGGGTAATTATGCATGAGTTTTATATTGTGATTCATCTAGATATGACTAGTGTTGGAAAGGAAAGGGGGGGGGGGGCAAAAAGGTCTCGCCCCAGCACACATTTTTTCATCTCATGGCCCTAGGCAGTCTCCTTTGTCATGGACAACGTTTATTTAGTTACCCTTACGTCATTTAAAATATGCTCATTTTCTAGGCACACCTCGCCTTCGTTTTGTTATTTTTCAAAAAATATTTTTAAACAAATGTTTCAGTTATAATTTGCAGTTACCTTAAAAGAGTAATACATTTATTTCCAAGCCAAACTCGACAGTTGTTAGCTGCCATAGCAACTACAGATGTCTTTCCACAACCAGATGTACCATAAACAATACAAGGTTCTCGAGAATCACTCGTCAGGTAGTTTCGTATAGCCTACATTTAAAATAACAGCAAATAAATAGTTTGCAGTTTGCGCAAATGTTAACTTTTGGCGCTAAATGTAAGTCCAGTCGATAAATCAGTCGATACGTTAGGACCATTACCGACGTGTCATCATTATTTGGTAAATTATATCTATTGGCTCAGTGCTTGAGAAGCTCATTCATCACGAACCAGTAGGTCCGGGTTCGATCCCGGTATTGGCCTTAAAACACCTTTGTATTTTTCAACGGGGGTGATCATTAGGTAGTGACCGCTATAATATTTTACCACCTACTTGAATAAAGTGATTCATTGGCACTCCACACTCTCAAGAATGTGTATGCTAATTCTTGAGGACAACATTTTGCCAATATTTACAAAATAGTCAAAATACATCAAACAGAACAATGTCAGGTAGCTTTGAAAGACAATAATCAAAAAAACATTTGCTGTTTACTCGTGTGTAGATATGACCTTTAGAGCACTGCCAAGAATACCAAAGTCCAGATGCTGATATGTCAGAAACGGAAGTGACACTATGACAAGTTACAAAAGACAAATTGGAACGTGTGAGTGGGACTTGAGCACCCTGCACCCCTCGGCCTCTACCCCTGACAATGGAATACCATCCTTTGTGTCTAAATAATCCCTAATAAAGTTAAATACATACATTAAACAGAAGATCCTACCGATAGAGTATTTTGACGACCATGAAAGGCTTGACATTTTTCCTGGCAGAAGGCAGCATGTTGAACGACCTCCTGATATAGCTCACTACTGATCAAAGATTTCTGTTTATTTTCTATAGCTCTCTGTATCATCTCCTTCATATCACTCTCAAAATCTTCACATAGTTTATTTATATACTGTTGATGACTTGATACACCGTTAGGATCTATTCCTAAAACACATAGACAAGCAAACATTTAAAGATACAGTCCCTCGTGTATAATTAGGTTATTTATTCAACCCATTAATTCATATCTTTATGAAATATAATATTTCTAATGGACAAGAAAATAAAATTGTAGACTCAAACATCCAGTACATTAAATGACTAATTAAACTGTTGACCAATGTTTCTGCCATTGATATATGAGCACATGGGTGGCTCAATGTTGTTTGGGAATCGGTAGATATGTTGTGCTATAGGAACCAAGATGGCTGTAGGAGTATGGTACTGGGCCATTAACTAGGGTTTTCCCTTCTAAGTGGTGAGTGTATACCATTGGCACAGCATATTAATGAGGACCCCATCCCACCCACAACCCAACCCCAACAGTTAGAGCAAAAGTAGACTAGTGCCACAGTCCGAGCATAATTCCCTGTACGGTGTATTCCGTTCTCGATAGCCCGTTGGTTCAGAAACGTAGGATGATTTCACGATTATGTTACTTACCCTTTTCTGTCCATGGTATATTGTATGTTTTATAATGATCGTGAGGTAGAGCGGGTTTTAATCTCATCTCTCGTAACTTCTGTAACATTTCCTGAGCTTGAACAACATGATCTTTATTTCCAACACATTCTACAATCAAAGACATCCATAGTTTAACCAAGAGGTATCGGTGGCCATAAGTTAAACTTTACATCGTATAAATGTAATGGGGTTTAAAGTGTCTTCCACGTTACTGTTCGGTTATTTTGAAATTAACATGTAGTAAGTTTTGCTTCTATGGCTTCGTGGCAATGCGAAGGACAGGAGAATTATGCCAAGGCAGTAGCGTTTTCGTTACTCCAAAGCTTCTTTGTCCACACATGTGGACATCACTTTTTGGTCTCACCCGAACGATAAGACCCAGCCTATGACAGGTTAGAGCCAGGCTCGAAAAATCCCGAATATTCTTCTCAGACCATGCCGGGATTAGAACCTAGGATATTTTATCCGAGAGAACAGTGTCCGACTAGCTTTTCTTTTACAGCATGAGTGTTCTCGTCAGATAGGAAAAGTATATTTTGCGAAAAACTGCAATTAGCTCCACCCTTTTACCAATCTGGTTAAAACACAGATCCTGATTAGCTCCACCCCTATTACCTTTATATCTACTGATGAGCTCCACCACTATTACCTTTATATCTACGGATGGGCCCCCCCAATTTACCTTTATATCTACTTATTAGCTCCACCTCTATTACCTATATATCTACTGAATAGCCCCACCCTATTACCTTTATATCTACTGATTAGCTCCACACTATTACCTTTATATCTACTGATTAGCTTCATCCCTATTATCTTTATATCTACTGATTAGCTCCACCCCTATTATCTTTATATCTACTGATTAGCTTCACCCCTATTACCTTTATATCTACCGATGGGCTCTACCCTTTTACCTTTATATCTACTGATTAGCCCTAACCCGATTACTTTTATCTACTGATTGGCTCTACCCTTTAACCATTATATCTACTGAATAGCCCCCTACCCCTATTACATTTATATCTACTGAATAGCCCCACTCCTATTACATTTATATCTATGTATTACCTCCACCCCTATTACCTTTATACCTACTGAATAGCCCCACCCCTATTATATCTACGTATTACCTCCACCGCTATTACCTTTATAGCTACTGAATAGCTCCGCCCCTAGTACCTTTATATCTACTGAATAGCCCCACCCCTATTATATCTACGTATTACCTCCACCCCTATTACCTTTATAGCTACTGAATAGCCCCACCCCTATTACCTTTATATCTACTGAGTAAGTAACTGGAAGGTTGATCATCTATATCATCTATAACACGATGAAACCAGAAACTACGCTCGCCATCTTGTTTAGAATTTAGTATACCACGTCGTATTTCAACTTCAGTAACTGTAACAAATAAAAGAAACAGCTTTAGGCATTGTAATAAATAAAAGGTACAACTGCAGTAAATGTAAAATATAATAAAGGTACAACTTCAGTACAACTTCAGTACAGCAACATAGCGCGTCTTATTTCAACTTTAGTAACTGTAACAAATAAAGGTGCAGATAAAGCTTTTTATTTAAATGAGAAGTGTTACGATTTCGAACACATGATATAATTTATTTTCTGGCGGGGGGGTGGGGGTGGCTCAATAGCAGAATTACCCCCTTTCCCCCATAAGCACTAACTGGTCTAATTTTTTGCATACACCCAACAGGAGTCATTCCAAATATTCTTAAATCTAAAATGGAAGCCCGTCAATTGGAGAACAACCCGCCAAGTTTTGTATGGGTCGTATAGGAATCTGTTGGGGCGGGGGGGGGGGGGGGTATTTTTTTTCTTAAAAACCGCCACTCTGAATAAAAGAATAACAAGAAAAACACTGTGAATGGAACAAGTTCCTGTTTTCAAAATAAGAATGTTCGACTAGTTTATTTAGGACAAAATACCTGACATCAAATATCGTTCAACTTGGTTTTCATCCAGACAGATTTCAGCAGTTGAAATAATAGATTCTTGTAACTTCTCGCTTTCCTCATACCACTTGGTTCGAGCCTTTTTCTTATCGTCTGTATTATGTGAAAGGAATGACGGGATATGTGAACTGATTGGTTGTAATATGTAAATAGGTGGCACGGAATTTTCATCTTTCTTAAACCATCTGGAAATAAAACATTGTCAAGTAAAATTCGTGTAGATATTAAACAAAGAAATCGAGTAAAGTTTTACGACTCGGCAATACTTAAGATTATCATACGGTTTTCCCTACTATTGCGCGTGAAATTCTAGAGAGGAGAATAATAGCTTCAAAAGTGAAATTTACGTCCACTCTTAATCGAATTTCAACTGACACGGGTTCATATACCTGCACACCAAAAGGAAAACATGAGGACTAGACCGCACTGGACGTATCGGCCTCACGGGCGTTCAGTGTCGGATTTAGATGAAGAGAGGCTCCTAGGCTATTCCACGTATGAGGTTCCTCCGCACCCCCCATCTTAGAGGATGATAGAAGTGTTAAACCACAATTGAGCAATGCTTTGATGTGTGACGGATGTTTAAAACTACAGTTTGTGTAACAAAGACTAATGACCTTTTAAAATATCATACACCTAGACCGGATGCCCATAGATCTCGAGGTCCTAGGCTTCAGTATGTCAAGTCGATAGTTAAATCCGGCACTGCAGGCGCTATATAATACATGGAACCGGACCTCAAGTCCTGTGCATTCTAGTCTAAAATTCGGTGTCCCGACGACACACCTGCCACGATCTCCAGATGATAAACACTACGACAGATGATAAACACTATGACAGATGATAAACACTAGATAGATGTACGACAGATGATAAACACTATGACAGATGATAAACACTAGACATATGATAAACACCGCGACAGATGATAAATGTTATTTTTATGCTTACATTACTCACCTGTCCAAGAGTTGTTTCGATTCTTCTGATTTCATGTTATCTTTGATAATCTCAAGCTCACCAGCATCGATTTGCCTTGGAAAATATCGGTAGCCATATTTATGAGACAAGAACGTCTAAAAATTTATAAAAATATTTATGAGATTATTTTTCTTATACTAAATTGATGGGGTGGTAGTCGCGTTTATCAGATAGATTAGTCTCTCGTAAATAATAATATTAAATAATTACAGAATGGCCCCAAATGGATTTCGCCTACTATTCTTCAAATTCCAACTACCAAGGGTTCTTTTACATGCACGCGGAGCTTCAGTGTTTCGTTCCATCCGAATGACTAGACGGTGTTCTTTGCTACGTTCTGCACCACTGACAAATAGCCAACACATTTTGGTGTTTGATTAACAAATGGGGACGGGGGGTGGGGGTGGATGGCGGGCAATGGTCTGTCACCGAGTCAAGTTGTGTGGTTTCGATTCCCCGCTTGTACGTGACAACAAGGATTAGGATCGGCTGTCCAGTCTTGTGGGTTTTCTCCGAGTCCCTCAGTTTCCCCCAACTGCTGAGAACCCCTAACCGCAATTGTATTATTGAAATAAAATTGAACCATATGTTAGTCCCGAAATGACCTAGTTTGTTTCGAGTGGACGTTAAACCCCATAACACCTCTCTCTCTCTCTCTCTCTCTCTCTCTCTCTCTCTCTCAGAATACGATATTTGTCCTTTTAAGCAACGGCGAAAATTCATTTGTGTACCGAAATACAGTACTTACCACAAAAGATGGGCCCGTTGACAATTTCTTACATAAATCAACTTCTCTTAGACAAAGTTCAGAGGTCATATGATCATCTGTGGCCTCATCCCTGACACCCCATCTCATATCAACAACCTGGAACTCATAACCACGTGACTGACAAAATTCTTTTAATTTGGGATAAACTCTTTCTATCAGCGAATTTCTTTCATATAGAGTATCTGAATGAAATGTTAAAATATTTACACACATCAAGTCGCTAATCATTAGAGGGTTGTTATAAAACTCCCGTGAACGTTATCGTCGAACCCGAAGTCGTCTTTTAAACTCACGACACTATGGATGTTTTAGGCCATTGAATTTGGGCCCCGGGTGAATTTCTCCCCGGCCAATTTGGGCCTCTGGCGAACTGCGTCCCGAGCGAAGCCGGGTATTCTGCTAGTTAATACATATATGTAGACATGATCTGTATCTTTATAGGCCGGAAAGTAGATAGTCAAAGCTCCGAAACTTTCATATATATTCCTTTATCCGTGGACCACAGTTATAATTATATATGGATCTGTGCTTGGTATAATTATGGATTGTATGATTAAATCTAAATTCACAATTAATTGTAGAATGGATAAACATACATGAGTTGCGTCAGTTGAATGATTTGTTGGTTCCAAGAGTCTGATTTGAGATTCCTCCAAATTTAAACTTGAGAAATAATAAAGAGCCAGATTTGAGATTCGTGTATGAAACATATTCAAACTAGACTTGTATGAAACATGATAAAATTAGACTTACCAGTAAAGGTACTACTTGTAAATATTCTAACTATTTTAGCTGTAGATGGACATTCAGTTGATAAATCACCACGTAAAATATCTTCTACTTTACTTTTATCTTCCAGATTTCCATTGCTATTATACACATGTTTATAATGGTACACTCGTAATTAATATTAATAGTACATTAAGATGGGAAAAATGATTCAATGTACCTCAGAAAAGGTATAATCTTCTTTCTGATACACAATGCATAGTATACTATTAAGGGCAGGAAGACCACACCACACACAAAACACCCCGACAAGACAAACCTGCTGACAAGGCAAACTACATAGACATTGCAAGAAATAACCAACAAATATATCAAAACAAGTGAATGGTTCGGGGGTGGGGTAGGGCAGCCGTCTGCGCCCACTATGCTGTACAATCATGAAAAAGATATTATGACGTACCAGAAATAATGCAACTGTGTTCGTGTCTTGAACGTCACACAATTTTAATAATAAGAGTGATAATCTGGATAGAATCTCGGGAGAAAATAAAGTACATTCTGCACAGAGCCCGAAATATCCCAAGAGAGACCGGGGGACCAGGGGAATACCCTCGAAGTTGAAGGTTCGACCCTACTTTTTATTTGGCCGGTTACCCTACTGCCTGCCACGTGCAATCTTGGAATCAAAGTTACGTCACTTGACTCAATAACAAACCTTATGATATAAAGCAAACGCGTTAGACCATTCAGACATCTAAACCCCTAACAATAACATGGGCAAAAAAAAAAAAAAATCAAAATCACTGTTAGACAGACTAAAAGACACTGTCAGGCGGGTTCCAAGACATTGTAAAATAGATGGGCTAAAAGCATCCTCGGTATCCTCAGTGGTCTCATTCCGTTCTACTCCACTAGGGATGGGCTAAAAGACACTGTTATAGACTTTGCATTTTGAAACTGTGGCTGATAAAAAGATCAAGATGTTTTCCGATTTGTTAAATTTGTCAACTTACTTGTTATCAGGGTAAGATTGTTCCAGGGGTTGGTTTTCAAGTAGAGAGTAAACAGGTATAGATCCTCCACATCCCATCTTTATCTACCTAGTTTGAAAAGTAAATATAAATAAAGTGCTGTATTCGCCTGCAATACCCTGGGTTCTACAGAAAAAAACCCCATCTGTTCAAGGGTACCGCATGTGGGTCCAACTGAGGAATGTTCATCAGGTGTTACCAACATGCAGGTTGAAATATATAGAATGATACCACCGGCAAAAGAGTCCAAAACTGAGATATGAGAAGACATGTAGAAGTAATTGAGTGTGTACAGTTAAATCGTGTTTCGTTGTTCGGGAATAACATTTTGAATAACGAATAACGAGACAGAACGCGTTTTGTTATTCGGGATTGAAATAAAATTATTATTTTTTTCTTAAGAATTTAACGTCCTGAACCGACCATGAACCGACAATGCTAATGAACACGAGCATGTGCTAGGCAATGTGCTATATGAAGCAAAGCAATTTCTGAAGTTTCAAAACTATCCCTACTTTAAACTTTGTTGCTCCGTTGATGCTTCTGTAACCCGAGGTGGCTTTGTCCGCCCCCCGCTGCCTGTGTAATATTCTCTTCGACTATTGGAACTAATTTCGGATTGACTGTTTAAATCATTAAAGGCTACAGTTTTCATGTTTTCAGACGCAGAAAGGAAGTCCCGACCAACTCCTACAGCGTCGCCAACCGTTTCCAGACGTAATTTCCTGGGATCTCTTGAAAACCGAACTATTAAACCATGTAATAGCTTTGTTACGAGAGTCTATATAATAAATTTTAACACTATAGTTTTGGTTTTTAATTTTATACACCCCCCTCCAATTTTAATTTTGTAATTGTCGTACCTTTCGTCTACATTCGTTTTTGGCACAATGATGCTATCCTAATTAAAAGGAATACGCCATGATCGAGCCAGCGTCTCACAGTGCCACCATGGCGTCTAATTGACTTAGGGGAAGGAAGTCTCGGCAATTAATCATTTTGCTTATGCTAGGTTTCCATTATCACGATTCGCGCTACGATTGAAATCGTGGTTTTAATCGTGGAGTAATCGTGGTGATCCTATCAGGTCTTATAATATACTGTGGTCAGTCGTAGCAATTGTGGTGATCGTATCAAAACGTATTCGAACGTTTCTGCACGTACCAGATCGTGAACTCAGTAGGGACTATCCTATCGTAACGCATCGCACGAGAGATGAAACTAGCATTATCGAGCTCGAATAACGAGTCGGGCGTGTTTCGTTATTCGAGATTCAAATAAAATTATTTTTTCTTGGAAATCTTATATCATTATTGTCCGTTTGAAAGGGGTTATCAGAAATTCAATTGACATATTCGTCGCACAAATGTAAACATCATACACATTTTAAAAACGATCGGGTTATAATTGTAGCCTCCAGAGGGTTCACAAGTAGAACACCACAGATGTACGGACATGTGCGTCAACAAGATCTGAAATATGTTATGAGGGACATTTTGCCCGGATTGCGGCGCTGCTACGGCCTATTTTTATTTCGAATTCCATCTGTCAGTGTTCCTTTACGTGTACAAGGGATCTAGTTTTTTTTAAATACTATCCGAATGACTAGACATAGTCCTTGCAAGCCCCTCTGTCCTGCACTACTGACAGGAGGGGTGGGGGCAAAGGATCGTACATTTCAATGCACTGGGGTTATAAAAAGCCAACTCATATGTAATGAATGGAGTTTGTCATTAACTATAACAGTAGAAAAAATTTGAACACTTATATGGATGTACTACTTCAGAATTTTATTATCATGCTACGTTTCAACACTCATACAGGTATCGTTATCAAGCATATTATCTTGATAACGATACCTGTGTGAGTGTTGAAACGTAGCATGATAATAAAATTCAGAAGTAGTATATCCATATAAGTGTGTCAATTTTAGTGAAATCGATTTCGTTGTCTTATATAACAGTATACTAATTACAGTTAATTATTAATACCAGGTTAAGTAATTAATAATATTCATGAATGCACATACCTTGAGGTAATGGTTTACATCAACATCACGTGTTTATATCCGACATTATATCCCAAAATATATACATACACCTCTATTTACACTATGAATGAATAGTCTCGATCAGTTTATATCACAGCTGATAGATTTTATAAAGATACGATGGACTTGTAATATGAGACTACAGTATTAATACCAGTGACGGGTAAACAAATCGATTGATCCATAGTTACCAATACAATTCACTATACGAGTTTCATAAATACCATTGAATTTAGGTCATAAATTTAATTGTTCAGTTGGACAAAATATTTGTATCGTCCGTCAAGTGCAGGCTTACTGTTCTATTAAATTTTCGTATGAGCAGTGCTGAATTAACCATTAAGCCACATAATGTCGGTTTGGGTAAGCGTTATGGCAAGATCTTGGGATAGCCTACGGTTAACGCTAACCTTGTTTACAATTGAGTGCTTAGGGCCTCTGTGGGTCTTTATCCGGTCCGTATACATCTTGACGTTCACGTAAAAGAATCTCTGACAGCTGGATTTCAAGTGCTGACCAGGAGAATTTTCTCCCATAACACAATGCATATTGGCGCCTGCCCAGTTCTAATAGAATAGCAGGACATAAAACCCCATTTCCTTTATTCAATAAGGACGAAACTATTTAATATATATGTCGAAAAATCTAACCAGAATATCCCGGTTTCGATGCACAGATAATGGCCGAGAAAGTGCATTGAGATTTTCTAGCCTGGTTTCACACAGTAAAATACGGCCTCTGGTCAACTGAAATTGAAATAAAAATAGGATCCCTTTTCCTCTCTCTTAGAGAGCTGATTCTGGGACTTTAGGACTTCGTATATTTTCAACAACATTGGACATAAAGGGGATAATGATGTTCTTTAGAGTTTAATAATATGGATGAATTTAAAATCATAAATGCTATTACTGTAAAATGATAATTACTATACTATTTAATGTATTAACAGGCTACATAGATCTTTTTTCAACCACAATCCACAAAAACTTGTAATTATAAATCCCAAATATGAAGAAGTATTAAATTTTTTTATTTACAATTACATTCTATACTGTCAGTTTATTATGAACAAAAAGTTAATAAATATCAATTCCTCAAGTCAACTAGACCACATAATATACATTCCAATATTTAAAGGAGCTAAGTCGCTAATATTTGGGACCTAGAAATTGACACAAATGGGTCGCAACACATGCAATAATGTAATATGAATGTATATAAATTGATTTACATTCAATCGTTTCTGTTTTTACTGAAATTTCTAATCAGTTAGGTTCAGCGACATATGCCAGTATTCTCAATCGAATTTCAATCTCTAGCTTCTGGTTATTCCAGTCTACGCCAATAGTATTTATTGGGCATGCTCTCAAGATAAGAATATAGCGTCACCGTTTGACATGACTTGTGGAATATGCCTAGCCTCGTTTTCCGAGTCCCTTATTACACATAGCGCTGAAACGCATTATGGTACATGATTCGTGTACCAATTGTAAAATGTTTATTTTGTCTTAAATATTGGATATCAGAAGGGCACCTTTTCCCGGTAAGATCACAACATCAGTATTGATTTAAACTGACAAATATTCATGTTTTCAATGTTGAAGATTTTGGGTGATATTGAGTTAGAGACTTAGCTACTTTAAATTGGAAGCAATAAATCAATTCAATATCAGATCCATCAGATATTCTTAAAAAGTAAAACCTTAAAATTCATTAAAACAGTATTATCAGCTGAAATCATCATACGAACGCTTTTTATATTTTCTAGATAATTCTGGGTTATATTGGGAGTTATATTTGCGCGATCTTTCACGTGAAATGTCATCTTCGTCTTCAGAATCTGATTTTTTGGAGTTATCTCCCGTTAACTTTGAAAACAATTCACTGGTTCTGTATTTCTCTTTATTTTCACGTTTTAACCTTTCAGCTCTCAGCTGTTCTATAGTTTTACTTGTGCTGGGTCTAGGTAGATGTTTATCTTGTTTACTTTCTGTATGTTTTTGTTTACCGTGTTTATTTTTCTGTAAATAAAAAAAGAACTTGTTTAGACTAACATACAGTTTAATTTTATTAATTAGCAGTAACGGGTAATTAGCAGTGGGAGGAAACTGGAGGACCCAGAAAAAACCCCACAAGGTTGGACAGGCTCCCTGTCACATACAAGAGGGGAATCAAAGCCACACCACTTGACTCAATGGCAGACCTTATGATCCCCCCCCCACCACAAAAAAAAAAAATTGTTTGTTTTAATTTGGACTTATTTCGTTAGATGAAATGAGGTTTAATCCCATACAGTTCTGCACCATGATAATGTACTGGGCTATAAAGATGGTCATATGACCATGCTGGGTAATATGTGGGAAACAGACAGTGGATTTCCATGATTCCATCTACCCTTCATCTAATTCAAACTACAATAGTTTTATTACAAGGGCATAGGCTGTTGTTTTCTTCCCATCCGCACGACCAGATGATGTTCCTTGCCAGATTATCTCTCCTGCACTACTCACATGGGGAAACCAATCTGGAAAATTTGGATGAACTTTCTTGGCAAACACCAGGATTGAAATCAGGACCTCCAGGTTAGTGAGCCAGCACCTTACTCGCTCTGCCACTCCACTGAGCTATTTTGTAATCCTTTACTAAGATAATGTTGATATAAGCATAATGCAGGGGTTCGTAACCTCTATTGTTGGAAATATCAAAATACTGTTTTTAACATTATTATTTATTATCTCATTTGTTATCTTCTCAACTTGAGATTTCTTTTTGGAAACATTATCAAAAAAAAATATCAAAAAGTCCAGAATCAACTATTTCCCAGCCTTAAAGGGGCATTATGTAAGATTAGATAAAGAGTTGAAAGTTGTTGCTATAATAGTTAAAAAATAGATAATGAAAACAGAATATGCTGAAAATTTCAATCAAATTGATTCACTCTGAATCGAGATATTAGCGATACAATTTTAGGCTAGCCTTCATCGTAACAAAGTCTCGATTATCCATTTTTATGGTTATTTCAACAATTACAAACATATTCAAATCCACTAAAATATATCACAGGCTAAGATACCATCGAAGGTTGATTTTGGTCTTGATAAGTTAATTAATGTCTAATTAATAATTTATATAACATTTAAGGCCTAAAGAAAGACCTGTAATAGGCAGATTTAGCTTTAGCATAAGGCATGTTAAATAAGATTGTCAAAGTAAATTTAATTAAAAACCTTCTCTTTATGATCTTTGTGTTTTTTCTTCTTTTTCTTTTTATCAATATATTCTTTCATCTGATTCAATGGATCTAAATCAGCTTTCTTTCTGTCTTCTTTGTCAAATCTAAAACAAATGAAAGAAAGAATTACTATACTGCTACATCTGTTGCTATAAGGGAAAAAAAACCAACCCTAATAAGAACTCTAAGCTTACTAAAAAATGAACAGTGGTATCAGGTGTTCAAGAAAGAGTAAATGTGATACCACACAGCATTATTGCAATGTTCACACAATGTTGTATTCATGATTCATTGGCATATTTCGTTAACAATTTTAGAAAATTTCCTGGGGCAGACCTCTTTGCCTTATGTAAAATATTTGGATCAGGGAGTGTAGTTTCTTGAAACAATGACCCTACTCCCTGTCACGTAAAAGTGGGGAACCGAAACCATGCCACTTGACTAAATGACAGACCTTATGATCTAAAGCACACGCCTTAGAGCACTCGGCGTCCAAATACCCTAATCTTGTAAGAGGTGAAATATTGTTATATGCTACTGGTAATCGTTAACTGTGTAACTTTATATTATATGGTAATGTGTTTAACTTTATTATAAGAGGTGAAATATAGTTATATGCTATTTGTAACCAGTTACTGTTTTACTTTATTATATTTACTATGGTAACCACTTACTGTGTAACTTTATTATATTTACTATGGTAACCACTTACTGTGTAACTTTATTATATTTACTATGGTAACCACTTACTGTGTAACTTTATTATATTTACTATGGTAACCACTTACTGTGTAACTTTATTATATTTACTATGGTAACCACTTTTACTATGGTAACTACTTACTGTGTAACTTTATTATATTTACTTCTTTCTTCATCCTCATCATCTTCTTCATGTTTTCTCTTTCTACTTTTACCTGTTATATACCATGGTGTCTCATCTGAAAAAAACAAAACAATACTGATTAAATAGAAATCTATTTTTTTTAAAGCAATTTCTAAGACCGAATAAAAAAATACCTGTGTTTATGCTAATTGGTCACAAAAATTAGGGTTGGTTGGTCGGAAGATCTTTTTTTTTTTTTGGTATTGGTTTTTTTTTTTTGTTGTTGTGAGGTTTGGGGGTATTTCAGCTTTAAATCAGCTATATCGATACTTGCTTTCTACAGCCTTTGTGGCATTAGCAATATACCGTAAATTGTTTATTATTTATTCCCAGAATTTCTAGATGAATTGCCATAAAACAAAGCCGATTCCGATGGTTGTAAATGCCGAAATTCAAATTTCCGGAGAAGACGATGCCAAAAATGACGTATTATAGGTCCTGGACTCCTGGGAAATAAGGAAAATAAGCTTAGGGTTTATGATTTGGGCTAAAAAAAATATAAGTTCGGTCCTAATGTTCTGCTCCGACTAGGCTAATGAAGACGGACATACAGTGTGCTATGACGAAAATTTTGCCCGCACAGCTGCCTACTATTATATCAAATTCCAACTGCCAAGGAATATTTTATGTACACGCCAATGTGTACACGGAACCTCTGTCCTGCACCACTAACAAGGGGGAACCACGCCAGAAAATCGCAGGGACTGAGCACTGGACCTCCAGGTTAGTGGGCCAACGTCTTACTCACTTAGCCAACATGGCTCCAAAATGCTTTAAAGCACATGAGAGATATTGATTGCCTTGGAAACAACATTATTGTAAACATCAACTCTCTTAAACTCTAAGGGATCTCTTTAACTTTAAGGGATATCAACGTCCAACTCTCTTAAATTTACAAGGAATTGAAAGTAAATTTTAAAGACTACCTACTCTGTTCTTCGATGTTACTTTTTCCTAAGTAGGTCAATAAACCAATACTCTTCTCCCATTTTTCTTTTTCGGCTTTCTTTTCTTTAGCATGTTCTTCATTGATACCTTGTTTACGTAACTAAATATAGACAGAAAAAATCCACAAGTCAAGTAATATTGTCAGATTTTAAAGTTTTCTACTTACTGCTTTGTTAGGCTTTTCTGAGTTTTCTTTCATCACTAATGATACTACAGAAGCCAGGCTTGATATAAGCTGACAAACTTAAGTGTAGTATTGAATGATTGTGTCATTTGTCATACTAATAAGTAATTGATATCAATAGATATAAATAAATTTCTGCCTGCAATACAGTTAACCTCATTTATATATTATTAGCAGTTGACCAGATTGCATAGATTGAAAGTAGTATAACTCCGAAACCGGAAGTGGTAGGCCAACGCCACCAGGACTGTTTTAATCCTTGGTTGAGCTACCTTTCTACACCAAATTTCAGCCTAGGGACAGCCCTGAACGGACAAACAAACAAACGACAGTCACAAATATTAGTATATAAATACATGTACAGTTATAGCAGTAGACCAATGTTTCGACCACAGGCACTTCAACTACAGGGATTATATAGGTGCCAACTGGTGCTGATAGTAGTGATAGGAGCTACGGTAACTGTCTCGGGTAAAAAACCTCTCTGGTCAAATATCGGTGTTATCACCACAACTCGGGTATCGTGTAGTTGGGCTATTTTAATGGGAGTTTCTGTGTTTAGTTTCAAAACATTGTTTTTAAATTGTTAAAATTTGTTGAGAATTATTGAACATTATTAGATCCCTACTGTTGTGTAGTTTAAAATAGTACATCTAGATTAGATAATGAATGTTGGGTTTCTACTCAGGGGCGGATCCAGAGGGGGGGCTTGGGGGGTAGACCCCCCCACCCCTGCTCAGCCACATAAATTTTTTTGAAAATCAACACTTTTTATGAGAAAGGTTTCTCGGCCGTGTGCTTTATCCTTTATCGTCAGATTTGGGACAGGATGGGCACTCAAAGCACGAGAAAATGATATGGAGATTATGTGATATCACAATTAATGCTTTGCATCCATGAAATTGAATCACAATGTCATTGTATTCATTCATAATAAAAATTGACGTCAAACGAGGTGTTGAATTTCTCTGTTTAAAAAGCTCAATGTGTATGTATATACGCCAAAATGACGATAGAGACCATGCGGGAGGGGGGGGGGAAATACATTGTCTTAGGAACATGACCCCCCCCCCCTGCAAAAATTCCTGGATCCGCCCCTGCTACTGTTTACTTTCCCAAGTGGTGTTGAATAATTAAAGGAGCTAAATCTCTATTCTTTGGCACCTAGACATGAACACAAATGGGTCGCAACTTTGGATGATACTTAGCTAGAGACTTAGCTACTTTAATAAACTTATTCAGACAATAATCAACTCTTGATGCCATCGCTAGCCTGCGATATTTAGTGGATTGTAATCCATTTTGTGAAGGATAATCAAATGTAAAAATGGATAAACGAGACTTTGTTTTTTATCGTACTGACTTTAGAAATGATGAAGGAGGCTAGCCTAAAATTCAAAAGCTAATATATTGGCTCAGAGTGGAGCAATTTGACGAAACTTTCAGCATATTCTATTTACGTTATCTATTTATTTTTTTAACTATTACTAAAGTTAACTCTTTATCTAATCTTCCATAATGCCCCTTTAACAGACTGCTTGAAAATAAACATAAAATACAGAGAATCCCACTAAAACAGCACAACTACTTGATACCAGTGGTGCTGATTCATTTTACCTACCCCATCTTCTATTTCCTTGAAGAAATTTATATTGCCTGATTTTTCTATTTCACTAGGAACGATCTGTGAAGATGAACCACTTGTAATTTGATTTGTTTCACCATCAGTAGTAAATTGTATTTTATCTTTAGCTCGACTACGTAATATATCAGTTCTAGCCTCTTGTTCCTGTAATAACATAAAACACAGGTCAGTTGCACCACAAAATACACATAAAATGATGGATTTTTTGAGGGGGAATTGGAAATTATAATACAGGAGTGGGAAACACCTGACTAAACTTTCATGGTCGAGAAAGTTCATCAGGATTTTCAGGCATGGTTTCTCCTTGTCAGTGGTGCTGGAAGGGCCTGACAAGGACAGCTGTCTAGTTGTTCTGATGAGATGAAAAAGCGATGTCCCGTGTACACATTGGCATGTACATTAATGATCCCTTGGCAGATGGAATTCGATATGAGAGTAGGCCATAGCGCCGCTGTCCGGCAATATTTCCCTCATAGCACATATTGGCGTGCACGTAAAAGATCCCTTGGCAGTTGGAATTCGATATTAGAGTAGGCCGTAGCGCGGCTGCCCGGGCAAAATTTCCCTCATATCCTACTGTATGGCATATGCCCGTCTTCATTAGCCCAGTAGAAGCAGAACAGTAGGATGTTAAACTCTATTTCATTTCATTTCTAAACTTTCCTACCATGATAACACACTGAAAATATTAATCTAAAATTTAAACAATAATTGTTGGCAAAATTTCAGAATAAATTCAACTGATCCCCAAAACAAGTTTGACCTTTTTTTTTTTTAAAAAATGGACCAATTTACTCTATAGCATTGATCAACAGGGATATTTTGTGTCACTCAAACTACATCATTATGTTCGGTCTACCACCACAATAATACTTGTATTACAAGATTATATTCCCATGTATTATATGCAGTTTAATGGTCCAGTGCGGGACATTAAGTAATATATTGATATTATTGCACGAGGGCTATATCTATATATTACGCAATTAAACAACTTAAAATACAGCCACTATCCAGTACATGCATTTCAATAAAATATGTCACGGGGGTCCAATATTTCAAATAGTATAAATAATGCATGCTTGGCACATTGCCCGTACCATTCAGTGAAATAATGGTACACCAACATAAAAGGATGACATCACATCTGTATTTCAAACACAACAAATTTATCTTACATCAGAGTTGTCATTTAATATCAATAACCTACAGACATAGGCGTACGGGCTGGGATTTTGGGCACCAAATACTGGGAAAATTTGGGCACAAAATTGTACTTTGTAAAAGTTGTATATAAAAAATATTGTGTTCATAAATGTGTCCAATTTAACAGTGAATTTATTATTATTATGTAACATACTAAGAACCTAACTACATTTTTTGGGCACCAACCACCACCGCCCCCCCAGTGAAAAATTTCCCCGTACACCTATGCCTACAGATAGCTTCTATTCCTGGCGAGATGATCGAAAACATGGCTCAACTAACTGGCCTTTGTACATACCATAGGCCTTTATATTCTCTATTTCATATGATGTAGCTTGTTGGTTGATCGAGTTGTCGTTGAGTTGTCGTTGAAATGATTGCTGCAAGTCTGAGTAAAAACAAATATATGAAACTTACAGCTAGTGCTATTTTTCGTTCTTTTTCTTTTTCCGCTTCTGCAGCTTTTTCTTCATCTTTTCTCACTCTCTCTATATTCTTCTTAGTTCGGACATGCCAACTAAATTAAATATTTAACAATTGTTTAGTGTTAAGTTTATACTATTTGTCTCACTCCCCATTGTATTAGGGAGTCACAGTGGCTCAGTGAGCTGTCCATGAAAGTTCCCTGGGATTTTCCAGCTTTGTTTCTCCTGTATCAGTGGCACAGGACAAGGCCTGTCAAGGAAAGCAGCTAGTTCCTGTGTACATGGTGGCATGTATGTAAAAGAAACCTTGAAAGTTGGAATTCATTCATTCCAGGGTAGTAATAAGTAATAGGCCTAGTACTAGTAGTAGTATAGGTAAAACAAAGGGTCATACATGTGTATGTATATATATATAATCATTAATTTGCTTTCTTCCATATTTTCTGTATCTCATAAAATAATTCTATTTTATCTGGAACATAGCGACACCAGAATATAGAATCATAGAATGCAAAACAGAAACTTTGATTGTTGCTGACTGAATTATGTGAATATAAACAACAAACATTGAACATACAAAATTTCGTCTTGATGGCCACGTGCGGGGTCAGTAGTTTTATTAACTTGAGTTTATCTAACTAAAACTTTACACTGACCTTTTGTGGTGCAAAATATTCATCCTGATTATGCACCAGGCGATTAATTTGAACTGCTTTTTGTAAACGTTTTACTATCGAAATCTACTTTCACTTTGTTTCTCTATAAGGCTACTTCCGTTTTTGTTATATGGAGTTGTTTCCCTTTGACTTGCGGCTGGCAATCAGGATAAGCGCATTTAGCCAATGAGGAACACATCAAACAGACCGCATTTTTTTAAAATGGAATATCAATCACTGGTTTTATTGTAATACTAGCACGACGTTTCGGCAAGTATCCTAATATCGCTATCAAGCACAAATGATTGTTCATCACAATAAGTTAATCTTTCAGACCCGAAAAAACATCGGTACAGATTTCACTTAAAGCACAGTTAAAGGAGCTAAATCGCCAATATTTGGGACCTAGAAATTGACCCAAATGGGTCGAAACGCATATAATAATGTAATCTGATTGTATATAAACTGATTTACATTCAATGGTTTCCTTTTTTACTCTAATTTCAAATCAGTTATGTCCAGCGAAATACAGCATGTGTCTCAACCCTATAGCAACTTCTAGCGTCTGGTTATTCCAGTCTATTAAGCAGGCTTTCCAGTTGAATATGTCTAGCCTCGTTCTTTCTGGTCACTTGTTGCAAATGACGCTAAAACGCACTATGGTACACGATTCGTGTACCAATGGTAAAATGTTTTATTTTGTCTTAAATATTGGATATCAGAAGCCTGCCTTTTCCTGGTAAGATCACAACATCAATGTTGATTTGAATTGACAAATAATTCGTATTTTCAACGTGTAAGACTTTGGATGATATTGAGTTAGAGACTTAGCTACTGTAATATATCTAGTACAATCTGATTAAAACACAGATCCTATTTCGTTTCGTTTTTATAGTTAGCACGTGCGCGCTATATCACAAGGCCTGTCACTGAGTCAACTGGCGTGGTTTCGAATCCCCGGTTGTACCATCTTCAATAGAAGGCTTGATCTCGCATATACGTACATCTTATCCGTTAGATGTTGTAAAACTCGCGATCGTTGCTTCAGGAACATGCGGTTGTACGTGACAAGGAGTAGGGTCGCCTGTCCAACCTCGTGGGTTTTTTCCGAGTCCTCCGATTTCCTCCCACTGCTAAAGACCCCAACGCGAAAGCGAATTCGTTTTACTTTGTCTTTACTGCACTAGGATCTGGAAGACGTGTTCTGAATGATATGAGCTATTAGCCAATGAGACGGTATGTTACGACGAGCTTTAGGCGTGTTTTGCACGGAACTGTGGGTAATCCACTAGTAACACCAATAAATGCTGATTGGTTAATCAAATGTCTGACGTTATAGGATCAAAAGCCGCTCGTATGACCTCTGACGCGACCTATCGCTACAACCGGTCAGATCTTCATATAGTGTAGGCCATCGAAAGTATAAAAAAAAACGAAACGAAATATTGAACTGTATTTTAATCAGAATGTATCTAGACTTACGTGTAAATCATGCTACTCTTCGGGATCCTGTTGATGATTTGTTTTGTACGTGTTCAATTTCTATTATTTTTATTATTACTATGTTATCCCAAAACGTAGGATATATTGTATTTTCATCGTTCGTAATTTGTTTTAGTTGAGGCGTGGGTTCGTTAATTTATTCATATATGTCGTTTCATATAAGTACGCAACTCACTTTCTTGTAGCTGGATGTAATTATACAGGACTTCGTATACCGTAGAAATGACCTAGTCTATCCATACGTCATATCTCTTGACATAAATGACTATTTCATATTTTGGAAGATGTTTGTAAGTTTTGAAGGCATTCTCTTTTGGTTATATTTTTTATATGAGATTATAATTATTTGATACGTCTTTGTGCCCTGTTGATATTTTGAAGGGAATTAATGCGAATTATTATAGAAATGTGGCTAAGTGGGTAAGACGCAGGCTCGCTAGCCTGGAGGTCGGGTGTTCGATTCCTGCATTGGCCGAAAATGTTCACCCAGATTTACTGGCGTGGTCCCCCCTTGTCAGTGGTGCAGGACGGCGGGCCTGGCAAGGACAGTTGTCTAGTCATTCGGATGAGACGAAAAACCGAGGTGCCGCGTACACATTGCCAAACGGCGCGAGGGCCAGGGTACCAAAAGATAGGGGGGGGGGGGTCTGGGGGTCTTCCCCCGGCCACTAGAAAATTCTGAAATTTGTCAATTCCGAGAACGCTGTTTAGAGCGCCTCTAGCATTCCAAACTCCAACATAAAACCCTTTAAAATACATGACAATGAAAGAGACAAAAGCCTGATTATTCACAATTTTCGTATCATGAGCAATTCATCTTATAACAAATTCTTTTTAATTTGACATTCAATACACCAATCGTCATCAAGAAAATATAATAAGCTTTTTGAACGAGACAGTAGATTAAGAGACACGATTATTGCAAGAGCTCATATTCAGGATACAGACACGAGACACTATAATGAGACAATAATCGACCGAAATAATTGATGCGCTGATCAGATTTCAAAATGAATTCAGATAATATTTTCACAATGTCTATTTCGTCCATTCTTAACTTGTGAATTTTGGCAAATAGACGATTGTTCAGAGAATTCTGAGACATTGTGCACCTAGTCCAGGTTTTCAGATGTCGCATCTGGCCAAGGCATGCACTCATAGCTGATAATGAGAGTGCGAGAGCCGGTTCGCGACCGACCAGAGAGCCATTACATATCTATCATTTAGTAAAAAGGTTGAAAACTTTCATCATTAGGGCATGGGTATACATGTATACCCCAGAAAAAGGCAGGGTACCATTTGTATACCCTGGTACCCGGGTTCCGGCGCCCCTGGGATTAACATAGGATCAAAGGATGATTTGACTTCTTTATTTTCACAATGAAGGAACATACATTAAAAGTCATTACAACTATAATTCTAACAAACCAATACAGCACATAGAAATACAACATATCGCAACAGATAGTAGTCTTTACGGTTATCGTAATTAACGTCTGCCTCCATATCGAGCCCTTTTCCATGTCTTCTAAGCTACTACCGGAATTATTCTGCCATGGTCTAAAACATCCGACCCATTTGTACTAAAGTAACTTTCATAAAAATTAATTATAGTTGTACAATCATTAGTAGCACTAAATAAAGGAATATGTAAACGTGTGATAACTGACCAGCTGAACATATATTATATTACTAGCAGGATACCCGGCTTCGCTCGGGGGTCATAACTCCGAAACCGGAAGTGGTAGACTAACACCACCTGGCCTATGTTACTCCCCGGTCCGAGCTACCCCTATACCCCAAATTTCAGACTCGGGGCAGATGTAGCCGCCAACCCCGAACAGACTTCGCTCGGGGGTCATAACTCCGAAACCGGAAGTGGTAGACTAACTCCACCTGGCCTATGTTACTCCCCAGTCGGAGCTACACCTATACCCCAAATTTCAGACTTGGGGGCAGACCTAGTGTAGCCGCCAACCCCGAACAGACAGACTTCGCTCGGGGGTCATAACTCCGAAACAGGAAGTGGTAGACTAACGCCACCTGGCCTATGTTACTCCCCGGTCCGAGCTATTCCTATACCTCAAATTTTCAGAGTCGGGGCAGACCTTGTGTAGCCGCCAACCCCGAACAGACCGGCTTCGCTCGGGGGGTCATAACTCCGAAACTGGAAGTGGTAGACTAACGCCACCTGGCCTATGTTACTTCCCGGTCCGAGCTACCCCTATACCCCAAATTTCAGACTCGGGGCAGATGTAGCCGCCAACCCCGAACAGACAGACTTCGCTCGGGGGTCATAACTCCGAAACCGGAAGTGGTAGACTAACGCTACCTGATCTATGTTACTCTCCGGTCCGAGCTACCCCTATACCGCAAATTTCAGACTCGGGGAAGACCTAGTGTAGCCGCCAACCCCGAACAGACAGACAGACAGACAGAAAGACAGACAGACAAACAACAGTCACAAATATATATATAGATAGATTATCTGTTATTAAAACGAGCAATCATGTGGTGATTTACTAACTAAATTAATTAATACATGTGTGAACACCTGCCCATAACATTGATTAATATTTACTTCCCCACTAAATCTGTGAAACAGACAAAATAATTATAAATTAATCTAATCATCATTTCCTTACTTATTATTATCCATCATTAAAACGGGCAATCATGCGCAGTCTCTCACAATGGACAATGCCCAGAAGTCTGATTAAAATACAATCTGATTAAAATACAGATCTATATTTCGTTTCGTTTTTTTATACTTTCGATGTCCGACAGTGTAGTAAAGACAAGTAAAACGAAATTTTGAACTATAAAAACGAAACGAAATAAGATCCGTGTTTTAACCAGATTGCAGAAAATATTGTTTTGTGGACAATTTTAGTGCTAGAGATGCAGTCATCATAGAAGGCCTGTAATATAAGCATTCATATGGAGTCAAGTACATGATAAAAAGCGAGTAACCCATCTCAAGTTTTCTTCTATAAATTGGCTTTTCGATTATAATTAGTTTTCATTGTGGGCAAGACTAATAGGTGCCTCCGTGCTCCGCTGCAGGTAAGATCTCTCTCTGACTGATCCGCAAGTCACCAAAAAGTAGACTCGATCAGGAAAGTTCACCATAATTTGGTTGCTAGTGACTATTTTAAATGATTGAAATGAAATGGAGTTTAACATCCCACTTTTCTACACCGACTCGGTACATGGAGACGGGTGTACGCAATGCAGTATGTCATAAGGGAAATTTTGCCCGGGCAGCGACATTCTGGCCTAATCTTATTTCCAATTTCAAATGTCAAGGGTTTTTTTTACGTGCACATCTATGTGTACACGGGACCTCGGGTTTTCGTCCCATTCGAAGGACTAGGCACTGTTCCTTCACAGGCATCCCCGTTGAGAAGACGTCCATATCTCAAAGCCACATACGCTCACATCGGGGATCGAAACCACAACCGCAAGCCAGAGGTGACCAGTCAGTTAAGAGTTCAAAGCGCTACGTTCTAGACCACTAGGCCATCCCAACTCCCCGAAACGGGCATATAAATTGACAAATTAGTCCGAGTCGCCGACACCCATTCTGCTCTGAAAATTTCCTGTATAAAC